GTGAGATGTATGGTGTATCCATCCCACAGAGGCTAGAGGAGGACATCAGGCCCTGCTCTATCACATTCTGCCTTATTCCTTTGAGACAAGGTCTGTCACTGAACCTGGAGCTAGGCTGCCAACGTGCAAGCCCATGATCCTTCTGCCTCTATCCATACAGCACTGTGTTACAAATGTTGTGTTCCACAACTAGCTTTTTTAAATTCCTACTAAAAATAAACAGTTTAGGGACCTGACCTGTTACTAAACATCTCCCAACTCCGTGACTAGCATTTTTAACACTGTCAGTAACAACTGAAGGAGCCTGAAGGACAGAGCCTAAAGGTGATGCTGTCTGCTACATCACCCTAAGCTGGCATTATGAGGCTCTGTACCCATCCATCACAAAACACATACCAAGGCAGACCCCAGAGAAGCACAAATAGCCAGAATCAAGTAGACCTGCTGGCACATGCCTTTAATCCTAACATTTAGGAGACTGAAAAAGAAGGATTCTGAGTTTGAGGACACCCTGGTGTATAAAGCAAGACCCTATTTCACAAATAAAAACAAAAAGCCAAGTAGCCAGAAACAAATGACCCACTTCACTTCTAAAGAACATGTGGATGGAAGAAGGAAATGATTAGAGAAATTCTAAACTATTTCCAACATAATGAAAATATGTCAACATCTGAGAGATACAATCAAAGCCATCCTGGAGAGAAATTCAGAATCAAAGGCTCATATCAGGGGATTAAAAGGGGGGGGCAGTTGAAATCAATTATCTAGACTTTAGGAAGCTAGGGGGAAAAAACAGCAAGCCTAAACAGAAAACAAAAAGGATAAAAGTGAACATCAGTGAAGAGGTTCACACTAAAGTCAATAATCCCAGAAGTCAGCCCAGAAAAGATCAGCCAACCCCCTTGGCCAGACTAATGAAGACAATGACACTAAATCCCCACCCTATGTGGTTCCCCAGACAAAACAGTACAGGCAGTAGGTGGTCACCGGGGTTACTGCAACAAAACACTTGAAAAAATCAACTTAAGAAGAAAAGGTTTATTTGGCTCATGTGCTGTGTCAGAGTTGATGATCTTATAGTAGACAGGAAGCAGGTCCCAGATAGTCCCTTTAGGAGCATAAGCCCCAATAGCCCAAGCTCCTCCCACCACACCCCACCTCCTCAAGGTCATAGCACCATCTGCTGGAGACCAAGACTTCAAAACCTGAGTCTTTGAAGAACATTTCAGACCCAGACTGTACAATCTTAGGGGCTCACGGGATAGTGAACTGCAAGGGGCAGCACAAGGGAACTTGGTGCCAAATGTTCTCTGATGCAGGCAGCCAACAGCACTGTAGCCTTGGGAGATCTGGACTGCTCTGCAGGGGCCAGTGTCCACTTCTGGTCCTGACATGGTAGGCAGGAACAGGGGTTCCCTCTACAACTCAATTTTTAAAATTCCTATTAAAAATAAAAAAGTTTTTAAAAAATGAAGATGTCTGTTGAGGACTACGAGAGTCCAGGTAAGTAGACAGATGCCAGGTTTCTGTAGAGTGGACAGGTCAGACACGTCAGGCACTAGACAGAGCATGGGAAGTAACTGAGACCCAGGTAGCCCATCAAGATCCTCCTCTGATGTTTTCTGGAAGGAAAACAAGGGCCTCCCCACCACCCCCAGGACCAGTCTGCTGGGAACAGGTTTTCTGAGAGCAGTGGTATACATGGCCTGTGAACAACTCCCATGTGGGTCAATGCTTGTGATTCAGTCCAGATGGGAAAGACCTGCCCAGGCCATGGAAGCCACAGGTGCTATGTGCTAGGAAATGCCTGCCTGCCAAAGTATCAGGCCTTGTGTTGCTAGAGGTACCAGGATGGGAGGCTGTCAGTCTGGCACCCTCACTGCTCAGTGGTCACTCCTCTCTCCAGAGGTCAGTGCCACACCCACTCCTCCAAGATGCTTTCCTGCCCATTGGGGGCATTGTCCCTATAGCTCTTGTTGACCTTTGCTGCTGCCAATGAAGTGTCACATAGGTGCCTGCTCTTGCTCTGAGCGCATGGGTCCACCAAGAGCACTGGATGGCAAATTCTCTGCACCCGTGCATTGGGGTCTGTGGACTGACTTGACTTGGCTCAGATCCTGTGTTGAACTGGCCATCACATTGTGTCCACATGGCACTGTACTGCAGGGTACAAACAGAATCATAAGCAGCAGGAGCCTGTCATAGTCATCCTGCAGTGGCTCTCACCAGAGTTCCCACAGCACCTTCATGCCCATGCCTGCCTTGCTGGAGCAGTAGATACCCAAGATGTGACAGAACTTGGAGGCAACAGCAGGGATAAGGATAGGACAGGGCAGCTGGGGGGACAAGGGTAGGGGGCATGCCAGTCAGCAATATCCCAACCTACCTCTTGGGCTCAGCCAGCACTGTGTTCTGAGGTGCATTCAGTGATTGTCCCTCAGTGTCTAGGCTGTGTTATCACTGTGGCTCTGCCATCCCAGGAGCTCTGTAGAGTGGCTGGGCCA